TCCCTCCCTTCTCCGCAGCCCCGCTTGGCTTCCTTCAACACTGTCTTCAGTCTTCACCCTGCACTTGGATATGCAAATTAACCGCCACCTTGTTGGGTTAATTTGCATACTTGCTCCTGATTGGCTGGTGGACATGGCTTGTGGGTGTGGTGGAGGTATGGTCAATTTGCATGTTTCTCTTTTATTAGATAGGAGATATATATATATATATATATATATATATATATATATTTTTTTTTTTTTTTTTTAATTGATTTTAGAGAGGAAGGGGAGGGAGAGATAGAAACATCAATGATGAGAGAGAATCATTGATTGGCTATCTCCTGCACACCCTATACTGGAGATTTAGCCTGCAACTCAGGCAGGTGCCCTGATGGGGGAGTCTAATCATGATTCATAGGTCAACACTCAACACTGAGCCACACCAGCCAGACTGAAAACCCATTTCAAAAAATGACAGAAAATGTCCCTAACCTGGTGAAGAAAATAGACATAGAAGTCTAGGAAGTGCAGAGAATGCCCAATAAGATGAACCCAAAGAGGCCCACACCAAAACTCTTTATAATTAAAATCCCAAAAGTTAAAGACAAAGAGAGAATATTAAAAGCAGCAAGAGAAAAGCAGTTAGTTACCTACAAGGGAGTGCCCATATGACTGTCAGCTGATTTCTCAACAGAAACTTTGCAGGCCAGAAGGGAGTAGCAAGAAATATTCAAAGTGATGAATAGCAAGGACCTACAACCAAGATTATTCTACTCAGCAAAGTTATCATTTAGAATCTAAAAGCATATAAAGAACTTTCCAGAGAAGCAAAAGCTAAAGGAGTTCATTATCACCAAACCAGTATCACATGAAATGTTGAAGGGTCTTCTTGAAGGATGAAGAGGAGGAGAAGGCAGCTTATCAAAATATGAATAATAAAATGGCAATAAATATATATCTATGAACAATTGAGTCTAAAAACACACAAAATAAATGAACAAGCAGAACAGAAACAGACTCAGATACAGAGAATATTGGGTCGGCAACTAAGTAATTGCGGATTTTTTAAAGAAAATCAAAGACAATTTTTTTATGGAACTAAATAACTTTATTCTATAATGTATTGCCCATTTTGATCAATGACCTTTTGCCATCTTTCAGGCAGCATCATAATCCCACGTTCAAAAAACTTCTGGTTTTTATTAGCAAAAAACTGAATCAGGTACGATTTGACATCATCATCATTATTGAAATTTTTACCATTCAAGGAGTTTTGTAAAGATCGAAACAAAAAGTAATCAGTTGGTGCAAGGTCAGGACTATATGGTGGATGTGGCAAAACATCCCAACCAAGCTCCATTAATTTTTGCCGAGTGACCAAAGATGTGTGTGGCCTTGCATTGTCATGATGGAATACAACACCTTTTCGATTTGTCAATTCGGGCCACTTTTCTTTAACTGCATTGTTTAATTTCGTTAGTTGTTCAATGTAGACATCAGAATTGATCGTTTGGTTGGGTGGTAAGAGTTCAAAGTAGACAATTCCTTTGTAATCCCACCAAACTGATAACAAAACCTTCTTTTGATGAATATCAGCTTTTGATGTTGTTTGAGTTGGTTCACCTGGCCTGCTCCACGATCTTTTCCGCTTGATATTGTTGTAAACAACCCATTTTTCATCGCCAGTTATCAGTCGTTTTAAAAATGGATCATTTTCATTATGTTTCTTTAGCAAATCGCAGCTGCTAATGCGTTGCGTTAACTGTGATTCTTTCAGTTCGTGAGGAACCCATGTATCGAGTTTTTGAACATAGCCAAGTTGTTTTAAGTGATTTTCAATGCATGTATGTGATACATGAAGCTTCTCTGCAATCTCACGTGTTGTACTATGACAGTCCGAATTGATTATTGCTTTGATTAGGGCGTCATCAACTTCAACTGGACAACCAGAGCGTTTTTCATCTTTGAGTGAAAAATCACCAGAACGAAATTTGGCAAACCAATTTTGACACTGCCATTCTTTTAAGGCTTCGTCACCATAAACAGCACATAACTTTTTATGAGCTTGGGATGCGTTTTTCCCTTTGCAGAAATAAAAAAGCAAAATATGACAAAAATGTTCCTTTTGATTTTCCATTTTTCAACGAACGCCAAACAAAAACTACAAAACAGATCAAAAAACTTTTTTTACTGATTAACAGCTGAATAGCCAACTATCAAATAACAAAATGTGTTTTACATTTGTACTACATCTGCAAACCTAAAAATTCAACTGAAGCCATATATGTGTGAAATCCGCAATTACTTAGCTGCCGACCCAATATTTTGATGGCAGGGGGGTTTGGGGGTAAGAATGAAAAGGTGAAGGGATTAAGAAGTACAAATTGGTAGTAACAGAATAGTCAGAGGGATCAAGTCTGCAAGCTGGGCCTCTTGGTTGATAGGTCAATGCTCCTGGTTCCATGACCTCCTGGTTCAGAGGTCAATGCTGAACCACTGAGCCACACCAGCCAGACCAAAAGGCTTTAATGTAGAAAATTAAAGGTTTATAAAACTGTTGGAAGTGCTGGAGGAGTGATATCTCAGTTTGTACTTGGAGTGATCCTCAAAAGCTCACCTATGAGTGGCTACAAATGAGAAGCTCACATAATTAACATAGCTATGTGCCCCCAACCTAATTGTAAAGAAGATTAATTTGGATTAATATGGATTTAGTCTGTGTCTCAAGCAAAGAAGGGTGAAAGCAATGGAGGGCATTCAGAGTGATATTGGAGCTGTGCAGCACAGCCTCCTGTCTCTCCCCCCCCACCCACCTCTACCCCCCACTCCTACACACACATCCATTCTTTTCTTCTCCCTGAGAAAGACAGCTCTTTTCAAGGTGGGAATATAGTCATCCAGCATCAAGACTACATTTTTCAGTCTCATTTCCAGCTACGTGTAGCCATATGACTACATTCTGGCCAATGGGATGTCAGTAAAGTGATAAGAAAAATTTCTGGGATGTGCCTTGAAAGGAAATGAACATGCCCTTCATTTCCTCCTTCCTGCTGGCTGGGAGGTGGACTTGATGGCTGGAGCTGCAGCAGCTGAACCTCAGACATGAGCCTCTTGTTAAAGACAATGGCACAACACAGGATGGCTTATGCTTCCATCAGGAATATTATAACATTCCATTTTGTTTAGGCTCTTCTCTCCCACTCACCCACCCCCTTTTCATTGTACCTGAGCCTAATACTATGTAACACAAACTAAATCTGGGGGAGAAAAACACTGTAAGTTCACTGAGGAATAGAATATTTCACAGAGGAACAGCATGGCCAAAGGCCCGGAGTTCTGAGAGGTGGTGTGCTCAGAGACCGCCAGGGGCTTTGTGTGGCAGGAGATGAGAGGGAAGTGGGCTGGGATGAGCCACCGCAGAGGATGGACCGAACAGGCAGGACGGTGGCAGACAGAGCCGCTGGAGGCTGAGTGTGATTAAGGTGAGAGACAAGGAGAGTGTGATGCAATTGATGGTGAAGACAGGGAGAGGAGATCCATTCAAGACACATTTAGGAGTAAAACTAGGACTTTATAAATGTGGGTTTAAGTACATGGAGTGGGCCGAAATCGGTTTGGCTCAGTGGATAGAGCATTGGCCTGTGGACTGAAAGGTCCCAGGTTCAATTCCGGTCAAGGGCATGTACATTGGTTGCGGGCACATCCCCGGTAGGGGGCGTGCAGGAAGCAGCTGGTCAATGTTTCTCTCTCATCGATGTTTCTAGCTCTCTATCCCTCTCCCTTCCTCTCTGTAAAAAATCAATAAAATATATTTTAAAAAAAAAAAGTACATGGACTGGACAAGTCATCAGAGGAGGTTGAAGGCCATGGAGTTTGGGGTGAGCTGGGCTTTCTGGCTCCCTGCCTCGGAGGCCCTGTGGGGACCAGCCTTTCCCCTGAAGGAGAAGCCTAGTCTTGCTCCAATTCTTTGGGCCCAGAGTCCCTGGTCCAGGTTCTGCCTCTCACCACCTCCTCTTCTCCCCCCTGACATCCTGCTTGTTCCAGGATTATTTCATGAAGGGGAGGTGGGAGGGTCTTTGCCCTGTGAATGCTGACTCTCCCATCTGCCGAGGAGCGTGTGGGGGAGCTGCCAAGGCTGCTAGGGTCAGGCTGGCAGCTGGCCACTGCCCCTGTCTGGCTGGGCACAGTGCCTCTGGGCAGTTGAGTAAGAGTGTGCTGCAGAGACAAACAAGCTTGTTTGTATCTATTGCCGGGCCAGCCAGCTGTGAGTGGGGAGGTTGAAGGCCATGGAGTTTGGGGTGAGCTGGGAGAGGAGTGGGCCATTCTTGTAAATGTTCCAAGAAGCCCTAGGTCATTGGGCCAGGCCCTGAGATGGGGGCACTCATTAACCCTGTGGGCGCTGGGAAAGGGCAGGAAGTGAGCACTGGGTGGCCGCTGAGGTCATCTTCCTTTGAATTGCCACATGATATTTACTCGGAATTGCTGCCAGAGGTCCAGGTCCTGGAGTATAAAGCCGATTGTCTGCTCTCTATGCCCAGAACTCTGCAGGTGAGCCACTGGGGCAGAGGGCGTGGGACTGCAGGGTCTCAGCAGAGCTGGAGGGGAGGGAGCACCATGGGAGCACCACCACGTGGCAGAGTTGCTTCTTGCCCTGGGCAGGCCTCTGCACCCAGCCACCCGCGGGAGGCAGGGAGATGGGGGTGAGGTGCGGCAGCCCTGCCTAGGGAGGCTCCTGGGCCTGGCGGGGCGGGAAGACCTTCACAAAGCAGTGTGAGCTCACACTCCTTGAGCTCTTTCCTCTCGTGGGAAAGACACCCTCCTCTTCCCAGCCACACTCACCTGCCTCGGTCCCCACGCCCCCTAGTTCCCCCCCTCCCCCCCAGTCCTCACAGCTCTGAGCTCCCTTCGCCCCAGGGAGGCGTCCTCAGGCTCGGGGCAGGCTGGCCCTGGGACTGGGCACGGGGCAGCGCCCCTGGGAGATGTCCCTGTCTCTGCTTCCTCACCGTAACCGGCCTCCCCGCCTTCCTCCTCAGGACAGACGATGGCCCGCACTGCAGCCCTGGCCTGGGCGCTGGCGCTCCTCTCAGGTGGGTCTCCGGGCCGGCGGGGGAGGAGGGGGGGTGCGGTCAGGCGAGGCCCTGCTCACTCTGCCTTCCCACAGCGATTCCCGCCGTCCACGCGCGGAAAGGCCCCCGGGAGGACGCCGGGCAGAGCAGCGTGGACAAGGGCTGGGCGGAGCAGGCCCAGCAGCTGAAACTGGCCCTGGAGGCCGCGTGAGTGCTGGGCAAGGGGCGCGGGGGCGGGAGGAGCCAGGCTGTGGGATGATGGATGCCCTTGATTCCTTGGTTGGCTCCCTGTTGGCTCCTGCTCGGGAACAGAGGAAGCAAGCCGCCAGCTTCGCCCCATCCCGGCCTTCCTGGCTGCTCGCCCTGGCCCCTCACCCCGCTCCGCCCTGGCTCTAGCTGGTGCCCCTCGCCCCCTGAGGCGTGGGAGCTGGAGGGGAGAGAGCCCCCAGAGTAAGAGGCCTGAGTCCAGGAGCCTCTGTGCCCTCGGGCGGGGCCGGTCTGGCTGGACCAGGGCAGTGCCTTGTGAGGAGGGGCGGGTTCGAGGCTAGGACAGTACCCTTGGTTTCCCCATCAGATCAGGGCGCGATGTCTATGGGCTAAGCCGAGGCTGGGCCAGTAGCCTGCCGCTGACGCCTGCCCTCTTCCCCAGGAGCCTGAAAGCCAGCCTTGAGCAGGACCTGCACAACATGAACACGCTCCTGGAGAAGCTGGGCCCTCTGAGCGGGCAGGGCGGCCCTCCTGGGCTCCCTCCCGACCCTGAGGGCGTGCGGCAGCGGCTGCAGGCGGAGCTGCAGGAGGTGAGCGCACGCCTGGAGCCCCGCATGGCGGAGGCGCACGCGCGCCTGGGCTGGAACCTGCAGGGGCTGCGGCGGCGCCTGGAGCCCTACACCGCGGCCCTGGTGGAGCAGGTGGCGCTGCGCGTGGAGGAGCTGCAGGAGCAGCTCCGCGCGGTCGGCGAGGACACCAAGGCCCAGCTGCTGGACGGCGTGGCCGAGGCACGGGACCGGCTGCAGGAGCTGCGGGGCGGCCTGGCGCACCACACTGGCCGCGCCAAGCAGCTGCTCCACCCGCCCGCCGAGCGCCTGCTGCGCGGCATCCGGCAGCACGTGCAGGAGCTGCACCGCAGCGTGGCCCCGCACGCCCTGGCCAGCCCCGCGCGCCTCAGCCGCTGCGTGCAGCGGCTCTCCCGCAAGCTCACGCTCAAGGCCGAGGCCCTGCACGCGGGCATCCAGCAGAACCTGGACCACCTGCACAAGGAGCTCAGCGCCTTCGGCAGCGCGGAGGACGGGGCTCACCCGGACCCCCTGGAGCTGTCCCAGGAGGTGCGCCAGCGCCTGCAGGCTTTCCGCCACGACACCCTGCTGCAGATCGCCGCCTTCACCCGCGCCATCGACCAGGAGACGCAGGAGGTCCAGCAGCAGCTGGCGCCGCCCCCGCCCAGCCATAGCGCCTTCGCCCCTGAGTTCCTCCCGGAGGACGACGGCAAGGCCCGGAGCAGGCTGCAGGCCCGGCTGGACGACCTGTGGGAGGACATAAACTACAGCCTTCGCGACCATGATCCGGGCCACGGAGGGGAGCCCTGAGGGCCTGTTTGCCTGAGCCCACGTCCCAGCTTCTTGTTCGGGAGCCCCAAGCGCGGGCCACTCCTTGGTGGGCCCTGCAGGACGGGTGAGGCCACCGAAGGGGCAGCTGTCCCTTGCCTACCCAGCCCCCTGAGAGTCCCCAACCCGGATGCATTACACTCGCCAGGACTTGCGAACCTGGCTTCCCGTGCTCATTTGGGAATCCTCCTGAGGTGCTCCATTCGGTGCTGGCGGGAGCGGGAAGGGAGAAAGGCGCTCTGTGCGGGGGATGAAGTGCAAGCCCGCGGCCATGGGCTGGAAGCCCAGTCTCTTCAGGCCTGGCCTGGCTGGGACCGCGCTGGCCCCTGGTGGCCATGACTGCCCCTGGTCCCCAGAGCAGCTCCTTTCTCGGGGCTGCTGTGGCAGCTTCTGTTGGGGGGAGCAGGGGGAAAGGCGGGGAATGTGATGAGGGGAGAGTGTGACTGCGTGTGGATCCCGGTGCGCTCTGCTGCTGCTGGGAACAAATGGTGGGAGTTGTAATGGGAGGGAGCAGGGCCCATATTTTCTGACATAGCTCTGCATTTAAACAGCCGACCAAGCCGAAACTGGTTTGGCTCAGTGGATAGAAGGGTCCCGGGTTTGATTCCTGTCAAGGGCATGTATGTTGGTTGCGGGTGCAAGAGGCAGCTGATCGATGATTCTCATCGATGTTTCTAAATCTCTATCCCTCTCTGTAAAAAATCAATAAAATATATTAAAAAAACCAAACAACAACAACAATAAAAAACAGCCGACCAAGCCTCCAAGGTAAGGGGCTTCCTAAGTCCTCTGGGGAGAATACTAGGTGCCCTCCCCATCTCTGACGCTCAGACTGAAGTCCAGACATCTGACTCCATCGAAATAGATGCTTATAATGGAAGCTGGTCTGCCTGGTGTGTCTCATTTGGGCCATGTCTGAAAGCAGCGCCCTCACTGCTATCCCCAAATCACATCAGCCACTCCAGGCTCCTGCTGTACTTTCTCAGGGACCCCCTTTCAGTGCTAGTCTGCCAGAGGGGCCTCGGCCTGGCTGTGCTGCTTTAGGGGAGAGCTGTGTCTGCCTGGGGGTGGGCGTGGGTGAGCGACCTTCCTCTGCACCTGCCGGGTTCGGGGCCTGCTCCGCACAGGCAGTGTGCCTCCCCTGCAGGCTCTTGAGATGGCCTCTCCCATTTGCTCCTGCTGTTCCAGATTCTGAATGGCCCTTTTATGACACTGACCCTCTTTTGGGAACCCCAAACTCTTAAACCCCCAGCCCTCACATACAGATTCACTTAGAGGCAATGAATCTCCAATAGGTCCTCTGAGAACCCTGAAGCTGGGGGTAGGTGAAGTGGGGTAGTGGCAGGGTAAGCACACCCCTTCCAGCTCAGCCTGCCCTGCACCTCCTCACTTCCCCCTAGCACAGGCCCCACATGAAGCTGGCTGCATCAGGCCCGCAGACCAGATCTCTACCCAGACATCTGGATTTAGCCACAGAGCTGAGAGCAGTACCCAGGGAGAGGAGGTGCTGGAAAGTTTACCCCTCTCCCTCCAAATAAAAGGTCTTCTTGTTGTTAGGAAACTGGGAGGGGAAGTCCAAGGGGGCAGATGTGGTAGGGATGAAGGGGTGGAAGTAAAACTGAGGGTTGTGCCTTTGCAGCTGGAATTTGAGCAGGTGTTTATGAGGACAGAAATAGGGAGAAAAAAACAGAAAGGGAGAGGGGGACTGAGGGACTAGAGCCGCAGCAGCACCCTGCCCAACAGTGGATGGAAGGAAGCCCAGGATGTTGGCAAGAGGCCTGGCTCTTGTGGTCAAACTTCTAGGGCCAATGGTTAGAACCCTGTGGATGGAGACACTGAAGGAGCAAAGCACTGCCCTGGCTCTGGGAGACGCGCCAGGGGAAGTGACACCTGGATTGAGGTAGAGGCAAAGCCTGGATCCGGCTATGGAAGTTTGGATCATATAGTCCTGGCAACAGGGAAACCCTGTACTGCTCTGCAAGGGCCCAGAGTCGCCTGGCCAGGGTGGCTCAGCTGCTTGGGCATAGGCGGGTGCACTGAAAGGCTGCCTTTGCCGGCTGGATCCCCGGTGTGTGTGCAGGAGGCAGCCCATCAACACTCACTCTCACATCCGCACATTGATGATTCTCTTCCCCTCTCCCTTCTTGTGAAGGCCTGGGGTGGAGGGTGGGGTTGGCTGGAGGAGGTTAGTAGGGGGGAAAAGGGTGACATATGTAATACTTTTCAACAATAAATAATTATTTAAAAAACAAACAAACAAATAAATGAATAAATTAAAAAATACATCAGATAAACCCAAATTACCCATACTCTTAAAAAATGCCAATGTCATACGACACAAAGACCAACTGAGGGACTTTCAGGTTGAAGGAAACCAGAGACCTGAGAACTAGGGGCAATGCCTGGTCCTGAATCAGATCCTGGATTAGAGAAAGAGTTGCCATGGAGAATATCAGAGGGACAAGACTTGGAATTTGAATACAGATTCTATCTATCTATCTATCTATCTATCTAAAAGTCTAAGCAACTGTTAGGACCAATTAACTGAATGACAGGACAACCAGTTGCTATGATGTATACTGACCACCAGTGGGCAGGTGCTCAATGCAGGAGCTACCCCTGGTGGTCAGTGTGCTCTCATAGCTAACCTCTGTGGTCCCTCCCCCTGGCCAGCCTGTCCTGATTGGCCCTGATCTCCAGCCAGGCTGAGAGACTGGACCTGTGCACAAATTCGTGCAATGGGCTTCTCTCTAGTATTAGATAGTAGTACTGTATCAATGTTAAATATCCTGCATTTGGTAATCATAGTTTGGAATGTAAGAAAAGATTCTTTTTCTCCCAGCATGTGTGTAGGGGACATATGCTGAAGTATTCAAAGGTATAGATACCATTGACTGCAATTTACTCTTTTTAAAATATATGTTTTTTTAAAAATTGATTTTAGAGGGTGAGAGAGAGAGAAATGTCAATGAGAGAGAATCATGGATTGGCTACCTCCTGCAGGCCCCACACTGGGATGGAGCCCACCACCTGACCATGTGCCCTTGACCTGAATCAAACCTGGGACCCTTCAGCCTATGCTCTATGCATTGAGCCAAACCAGCTGGGCACAACTAACTCTTAATAATAATAGTGTGTGTATAGTGACAAATGTGGCTAAAGTGTTAATAATTAGTTGATTTAAACATAATTACTGGATTTGGATAGAGACTAAAAAATAATGCACTTAAAAATCTAAAAAAAAAAGGGGTGGGGTTGGAAAGTCGGTCACCTCTCTCAGAAAGGGCGGGGCTGCCGCGGAAGTGCCGCCGGAAGGGGCGGCGCCACGGGCGCGAGGAGGCCGGAAGTTGCGGGCGGCTCTGCGCGTGGTTGCGATGTCGGCCGGCGGGTCTGTGGAGCCGGGGCCCCCGGGGGCTGCGGCCGCGCCCTCGCCCGCCTCGGCCCCGGCGCGCGTGTTCCGGCCCCTCAGCGCCGAGGACGAGGGCCAGCAGCCCACGGAGATCGAGTCGCTGTGCATGAACTGCTACCGCGACGTGAGCCGCGGGCGGGCGGGCCGCGGGGGGCGGGGTTGGCGCCGGGGCTCGGCCGCCTTGGGGACCCGGAGGGAGGCCCCTCGGGGTCACCGGATGGGGAGCTGGGGTTCACGGGTCCTTCCCTTGGCTTTCTGCCTCCCCAGGGCGTGACGCGCCTGCTGCTCACCACCATCCCCTTCTTCAGGGAGGTGATCGTCAGCTCCTTCTCCTGCGAGCACTGCGGCTGGAGCAACACGGAGGTCCAGTCGGCGGGCCGGATCCAGGACCAGGGCGTGCGCTACACCCTGACGGTGCGGGCGGCGGAGGTGAGCGCAGCCCGGAGCCGCCCGGCAGGGCCCCGCGCAGGGCGGGCGGGGCCGCCCGGGCCGCCACCGCCTCGGCCGGGCCGCGGGCCCGGAGTAAATCTCTACCCTGCGTGTGCCAGTCTCACTTCCTGCTTACAAAGGGGGGCTGGCGCTGTCAGCTGACCAGGCGGGACTTGTGAACGGGGGAGAAGGCACCGCGGGAGCAGGAGTTAGGCAGGGAACTCTCCTCACGTGGGCAGCGGGCTGGCTGGACCCCTGAGGAGCGAGCACGAAGCCGCTGGCCCGGGGTGTGATGAGGGCAGCCTGGCCTTCCTGAGGGGGCAGTGCTGAGCTCTGACCTCTCTGGCCTGCACCTGCTTTCTGACCAGGACATGAACCGAGAAGTAGTGAAGACGGACTCTGCCACCACAAGGATTCCCGAGTTGGATTTTGAAATTCCTGCCTTCAGCCAGAAGGGAGGTAAGTTCGAGATCAGGGTATTTGGGCTGCTTATGCTTAGCTGGAATCTTAATTTTCTTGTAAAAGCCTGGGCCAGATCTAGTGGCTGTGTATGGGTTTGGCAATCATTGGGATCTTCATTGACTTAACATAAGCAGAACACTTAGATAAAACAGTTTGAGATTGTGTTTGCTTATAGAGTTTTGTCATCACTGTTGTTAGAGCTGAATGGAACTTTGTTCCCAGCCTCATTTTACATATGAATTCAAGGCCCAAAGGGGTCTCACATGAATTGCCCAGGGTCATACAGGCACAGAGCGAGCCCTGACTTCCCTGTCCTGTTCTTTTTCGCCAGCTTTGACCACTGTGGAGGGATTGATCAGCCGAGCTATCGCTGGCCTGGAGCAGGATCAGCCCACTCGAAGGGTGAGTTGGGGTATTCTGATTGCTGCAGCTCAAGGAATAATTACTTCCTGGTGTATGCATCTGAGGAGAGTGTTCAGCTCTCCACGTAGGTGAACGGTCTGACGGAACGTTGGAGGACTTTTAGGGGAAGCATATGGAGATGCTACAGCTGCCAGGATGTTGCATACAGAACATTTACTGTTCTTTCCACTTCTTTTCTTCCCGCTTCTCCTTCGCCAGTGTATGTGTATTCAGGCCTTGTCGCTGGCAACAGGCTATGTATCATTACCTCTGAAGAGCCTGTCCTCCCTTGGGCTTAGCTATGCTTTCTGAGTGTTCCACTGTCTATTATGAGACAAGTGGTATAATTACATATTACAAGTCATCTGTCTTCTTAACTAGCTGGGGAGCCCCATGAGGGGACTCAGATATTTAACCTGGCAGGAACGCTTGGTTTAAATGGTTGAATGAGTGAGAAAATGAGGCTCATCTGGCATCACCCATAAACTTCAAATTGTATGCTACCTCTTATTGTGAAGTCTGAGTCTCTCTGTTCCCACTCACACTAAGGAGATGACTTCCTGATGGAAGTGACTCGGGCACTACAGGAAGTGAGGGCATAAGGTCTGTCACCAGGGCTGATACTTTTACTCTCGGTTTCTGTCAGGCAAATGAAGAAGCCGTAGCTGACAGACTGGATGAGTTCATTGTCAGACTGAAAGAGCTAAGGCAGGTGGCCTCTCCTTTCACCCTGGTGAGTACTGAAGGTGTTAGGTGCCTAGATTGAAGAGAGGAGAAACCATTAAGACTGGGATTTTTCCACTGTGGTGGCGAGTGGTCTGATGGTAGGTGAAGGATGGTACCAGGCTTATAATTACTATTTACCTGTCTGTTAGATCATTGATGACCCCTCAGGGAACAGCTTCGTGGAAAACCCACATGCTCCCCAGAAAGATGATGCCCTGGTGATCACACATTATAACCGGACTCCGCAGCAGGAGGAGATGCTGGGGCTCCAGGTAAGTGAGCTGAAGAAGCCGGAAGAGGGATGGTTCCCTTCACTCCCTGCTGCTGCCCTGTGTACCTGTCACCCAGCATGTCCGTGCTGCCCATCAAGCTCGTGTCAAGGGCTTAGGGTACATTTACAGTAAAGGACGGCAATGGCTTTGGTCTTTTCTTAAGCTCTCTACCTCCTTGATTGGGGCTTTGCTTTCTAGCTTTGCTTTCTAGTTTCATGAGGTGGAAGCTGACAAAAGCAAGCCACAGCACAGCATTTTCCCGCGCCCCAGGGCAGAGAGGCTGAGAAACACGTGCAACATGTGATTTGCATCTCTGCTTCTTTAGGCCGAGGCACCAGAAGAGAAGCCGCAAGAGGAAGATCTCAGAAACGAAGTGAGTCCCTCTGGCTGCTGTGGAGGAAGGAGTGGAGTTGTGGGCGGAGTCTGATGCTGTTCAGTGGCTCTTCCTCTCCACCAGCATGGGCTACTGCCGCATGCCAACTGAACGCGTCAGCCTGACATGCTCACCTGCCAGTGTGCTCACCCCGCATCCCCGTGTTGTGTTCCAGGTGCTGCAGTTCAATACCAACTGCCCGGAATGCAATGCTCCAGCTCAGACAAACATGAAGCTAGTTCGTATCTTTCGTCAGGCTGTTGGGCTGCTCCTCCTCTCACTCCGATGTGAGGGTTATCTTCAGGCTGGAGACCACTGCCTTCGAGGAGAACATGTTACGTTCTGAGTGATGAGGATGTTGCCTGTGATGAGGCCCCACCTTGGCTTCTGGGTCACAGAGAGAATTGGGCTGTAGTCTTTTTTTTTTTTTTTTTGATGCCCTCAACCAGAATGTAACCTGGGACCCTTCAATCCCCAGGCCGACGCTCTATCTACCGAGCCAAATCGGTCAGGGCTGGGCTGTAGTCTTGGCTCCTGTGTGTGGCCTAGGCCAACATTTGTGAACAGGAGTGACCGTGGGTTGTGACCTTGCCCTCTTTGGAGTACTAGCGCTGCTTCTTGGGATCTATTTCCTGTAATCCTGGGACCAGCCATTTGGGTTTGGATTTGTTCTCAGAGAGTGGTCTTGTTCGTGGAAGCAGGTTCCCTTAACTCCAGCTCCAGAAATCCCCCACTTTAAGGAGGTTATCATCATGGCTACCAATTGCGAGTACTGCGGTCATCGGACCAATGAGGTGAGAGCTCCATTGGTTGGGAAGACTAACTTGAGGGTGACCTGTCTAACTTTCACTCTTAAACCTGCTTTCGGATAATGGGAGTGAGGATGGGTCTTTCTCTTAGGCTTAGTGTAGGGTGAGGGGCCATTGAAGGAACTGGGCATTGGCTTAGAGGAGAAAAGCTAAGAGATAACCATAACTTGTTTATCTCTATTTACCTAATCCTAACTTGTTGAAGACCTCCATCCTTCTCTCTCCTCATCCAAGGACATGTTTCCATTGATTTTAGAGGAAGGATGAGGAAGAGGGAGAGAGAGCGAAACATTGATGTGAGAGAAACAATTGTCAGTTGCCTTCCATAAGCACACTCATTTAAGACATTTTCAAGTTTGGTTTTAAGGAATAAGAAGGCAGATTTTGACTCAATATTTTCTAAGTTTGTAAAAATAGAATGGGCTGCCTTGGAGGGCTGTAAATTCCCTTTCCCTGAGTTAATTCAAGCATGAGCTGTTAAATTCCCTTTTTTTTTTTTTTTTAAATATATTTTATTGATCTTTTACAGAGAGGAAGGGAGAGAGATAGAGAGCTAGAAACGTCGATGAGAGAGAAACATAAACCAGCTGCCTCTTGCACACCCCCTACCGGGGATGTGCCCGCAACCAATGTACATGCCCTTGACCGGAATCGAACCTGGGACCTTTCAGTCTGCAGACCGACGCTCTACCACTGAGACAAACCGGCTTCGGCCCCTTTTAAAAAAAAAAAAAAAAAAAAAAAAAAAAAAAAATATATATATATATATATATATATATATATATATATATATATATAAATTGATTTTTTTACAGAGAGGAAGGGAGAGAAATACAGAGCTAGAAACGCCGAAGAGAGAGAAACATCGACCAGCTGCCTCTTGCACACCCTCTACTGGGGATGTGCCCACAACCAACGTACATGCCCCTGACCGGAATCGAACCTGGGACCTTTCAGTCCGCAGACCAACGCTCTACCACTGAGCCAAACCAGTTTCGGTAAATTCTTAAACTAGAATATTATAAAGGGGATTCACGTGTTGGATGCAGTTGAATGCCTCAAATCCCAATAATCGTATATTTTTTTTTTAAAGGTAAATTAGAGTTTCTTGGCAACTTGGGGTGCATTTTGGCAGGTGCTGGGCACTTTGCTCCTGGCCCATTCTCGGTGGTTTTTATTTGGATGACTGCTGCTACTATTGATTTAGAAGGCTCTGTGCTTGGCCGCAATAGCGGGCTTGATTGGAGGTCTAAGCAGACCCTGTGAGGTCTGTTGGGCACGAGGCTCGGCTCGGGGCCTTCTTGCTGTCGCTGACTGCTGTTGTCTGCAGGTGAAGGCTGGAGGAGCAGTGGAGCCCTTGGGCACCAGGATCACTCTCCGTATTACAGATCCCTCAGATATGACCAGAGACCTTCTCAAGGTAACAGCTGTCTTCCTCAGGGACTTGTCTCTCAGGGAAAATACCTTTTAAATTATGTCTTGGGACTGTGTGGTGCCTCCTCATTTCTGTGAGTGGAGCCTCAGAAAGCGACCCATAAGCTCTTTCTGATGAGTGGGCTGCTGTTTACCTGCAATGTCTGAGGCTCTTGTTTCTGGCCTCTGAAGACGGGACTCCTAGTAGCTTGGAGCCGTGACTCAGTGTCCCTTTATTAGTTTGGTTCCATTCCTGGGGTACATAGGATAGGAGTGAGTTCAGCTTTAACAAAAAGTCAGAAAACGGGGACAGTTGACTTTGTCCCCAAACTGTCACTGGTGGTATTAATTTGGCAGGAGGACTCTGGTTAGCTTTCTCCAGCAGCTCCTGATTTAAAGCTTAAGCTGACCTCTCATCTCACAGTCTGAGACGTGCAGTGTGGAAATCCCAGAACTGGAATTTGAGTTGGGAATGGCTATCTTTGGGGGCAAGTTCACCACCCTGGAGGGGCTGCTGAAGGACATCCGGGACCTGGTGAGTAGTGCACGGCTACGGCAGTGCCGCTGTGGGGAGGGGCTAGGTGACCTCATATGTCCTAGTTTCTGAGCTGATAATGGGGTTTTGCCTTAAAGCTGATTTAAGATACTTAAATTTATTTTTGATTGTGAAGATAAGTTTATGGGAAATTCTGAGTAGAAATTCCTGGGCCTTAACTCTGAGATATATGTGTGGTTTTCATTTCACTAAAATGAGGTGTGAGGGTCCTTGCAGCATCGAAAACTTCCCAACATACATATGCATTGTTGACTTAGCCCATATATTTGTCCTCTTGATGAATCATGTCATTTAATTCTCATTCTTGATGCCTTTTGTCTTTGTAAATTATACTTTGCATCTCTTGTTAAATTAGGACTAGGGCTCACTCATATTGTAAGAACATGTTTATAGTTTGTTTGACATGGGCGGTTGCCGCCTTGGCAGATTAGTCCATAAGCTCTTAGGAACAATCAGAAAGGTGGTTATGGGATAAATGAAGACCATGCTCCCCTGACTGGACAAGCTGCAGGAGTTGCACCAGAAGTTGCCTTAACTTCCACCCCTACCAGGTTTACAGTCACACCTGTAATACACAGCCAGCATGCAGCAGTGTGGATGACATTTATTGCAGGTGATCAAGAACCCTTTCACGCTGGGTGACAGTTCCAATCCTGGCAAGATGGGCAAACTGCAGGAGTTTACCCAGAAGTTGGACCAGGTGAGAGGAATCTGGCTGGTCAGTACTTGTCCTGGGGTGCCAGTGAACAAGAGGCTGCCTACTCTTTCCTGCTCCCTTTTAAACATTTAACCCGCATGTTGGGGATTCTTCTTTCGCAATCCCATGTTGTCATCTTTCTTGGTTTCCTCCTTTACTTATTTATTTATTATTTTTTTAAATATATTTTATTGATTTTTCACGGAGAGGAAGGGAAAAGGACAGAAAGCTAGAAACATCGATGAGAGATAAATCGACCAGCTGCCTCCTGCACACCCCCTACCGGGGACGTGCCCGCAACCAACGTACATGCCCCTGACCGGAATCGAACCTGGGTCCCTTCAGTCCGCAGACCAATGCTCTACCACTGAGCCAAACCGGCTTAGGCATGTTTCCTCCCTTATATTGTTGGAGGATCTTCACTAGTTTCCTGAGAAAATGCATGGGAAGTGAGATTTCTGGGACCTTACATGTCTGAAAATTTTTTCATTCTAGAATTTAATCATCCTAGATTGATTAATGGCTGGGAATAGAGTTCTAGGATGAAAATAATTTTTCGCCGGGACCGGTTTAGCTCAATGGATAGAGCGTCGGCTTGGGGACTGAAGGGACCCGGGTTCGATTCCGGTCAAGGGCATGTACCTTGGTTGCGGGCATATCCCCAGTAGGGGGTGTGCAAGAGGCAGCTGATCAATGACTCTCTCTCATCGATGTTTCTAACTCTCTATCTCTATCCCTTCCTCTCTGTACAAAATCAATAAAATATATTAAAAAAAAAAAGAAAATAATTTTTCATCAGAATCTGAAAGACAGTGCACTAATGTCTTCCACGATACAATTTGGCTATTTCGAAGTCTTCAGGCATGTTGATTCCTATCTTTTGTATGTGACCTGTTCTTGTTGTACTTCTATGTCCCTGTGATGTGAAATTTTAGGATGTGCTTTGGTGTGGGGTCAATTTGCATCCACTGTGCTAAGCGCTTGTAGGTTCTTTGAATCTGAAAACTCATGTGGCTCAGTTATAGGAAGCTTTTTAAGATGTTTCTGTTGAGAATTGCTTCTTTCTGTTTCTTCTGAAATCCCTGTGTTTTGGTATATTAGACTGACTTTCTGGTCTTCTGTAAAATACTTATCCTTTTCCAGTCTTCAGTGTCTTTGTGTTTGCTCTATTTTAGGAGATTACCTTAACGTTATTTTCCAACCTTTTATTTTTTACTTATTTATTTTTTTAAGAGATAACTCTTTTTAAAAATATATATATATTTTATTGATTTTTTACAGAGAGGAAGGGAGAGGGATAGAGAATCAGAAACGTCACTGAGAGAGAATCATCGACCAGCCGCCTCCTGCACACACCCTACTGGGGATGTGCTCGCAACCAATGTACATGCCCTTGATAGGAATCGAACCTGGGACCTCTCAGTCCGCAGGCAGCGTCTGCGGTGAGCCAAACTGGTTTTGGCTATTTTCCAACCTTTTAGTTGAGGTTTCATTAACATATTTTTATTTTCCAAGTGCTTTTTTTTGTATTTTTGAATACTCTTTCTCTGCCTTTTTAGAAAATAGTTATAAGGATTTAGCATTTTTTTCTTCTTGAGAATATTAATTTGGGTTGTTTTTCTTTTCTTTTTTTTTCTTTTTTTTTTTTTACACTTTATTTTCCTTGCATTGTTTCCATTTCCTCTAAGTTGTGCTTAGCTTTTTTTGTTTGTTTATTTTTCCATGTAATTGTCCATCTTTCAATATTAGGGGCTTTGATGTCTGGTAATCATTAGTTGTCTATTTAAAAGTAGGAGATTAAAAAACCTGAGTGGCGGGTTTGCTGACATCGGGCTCATTGTAAGGGATTTACTTGGCCTTCTTGTTGAGGTAGCGCCAAAGCCAGAGTAGTTAGGTCTTTCTTTTAGGGTGCGCAGGCTCCCGTCAGGGCTGCTCCATTTCCTGGTCTGAGGTGTTCTGGGGAGAGGGCTGGGTGTTGTATGTCTGTTTCCAATAAGGGTACATTCATTTAATCTCCTGCCTTGATTCCCTCCCCTCTACCCTCAACTGGGCCATGGCCCCAGTCTACAGTGTGCTGTGGCCTCTTCAGAGAATCCTTCAGTCTTCTGCTGGGATAGAGGACGGGCAATCCTTCCGTCTTCTGGGATAGACGTTGGCCTGTTTGGAGTGGGAGATGAAATTGGGGATGTAAAATTGTTTCTTAAATAATGTCAAACAGTTCTTATTTTATTTATTATTATTTTTAATACTTTTAAAAACATCGATTTCAGAGGAAGGGAGAGGGAGAGAGGGATAGAAACATCAATGATGAGAATCCTTGATCGGCTGCTCCTGCATGCCCCCTACTTGTGATCAAGCCCATAACCCGGGCATGTGTCCTGAGAATCCAAACCTGATCCCCTGGTTCATGGGTTGACACTCAACCACTGAGCCACACTGGCCGGGTAAACAATTCTTATTTTAGATCTTCTCTACCCTACTTTTAGAAGTACTCATTTCACCGGTTCATGAAACTTGGGCATACTTCAATGTAAATTGGCTTGATTCTCCATGCTTTGTAAAATTTACATACTGTATTCTCTCCTCTTTAGATCATGGAGGGTAAAATGAAGGCCCACTTTATTATGAATGACCCAGCAGGAAACAGCTACTTGCAGGTATAGTAAACCTTCCCTTATATTTCATGGAGATATGTTTTCTGACTTTTCTTGAACATGTGTCATCTTTCTAGAAACTGAGACTTGGTTCTAAATGAACTGCTCTTTATCAAGAACTTAGGACATAAGGGAGAAATGGGGGAATGTGGGAAGGGTTGTAAGTGTGTGTCAAGAGGGAAAAAAGGATACTCCTAGGCTCCTCCTTCCTATAGTCTGGTTCTTGTCCCAGCTCTAAGTCCAGTGATGGTGTTTTCATTCTGCAAATCTGACTGTAGAGTGAGAAGAGATGGTCCCTTGTCCAATACAGGAAAACTGAAAGGCGTTAAACTGACTGGGGAGATACTCTGCTGATTGACAATAACATTAATATTTATTGAGCAGTTATGGGTCAGACACAGCTGTTCTTATACTCTTCATAAGAAGGTGCAGGTAGAAAGTATTTTAGGTGGACTGTTCCCTCATTCTGGCTGGGGCTGGTCAGTCCCACTCCTGGCCCACGTGGGCTCTGTTGTTTTCCGCTAGTTGAGCCTAGTCATGGGGAATTGGTGGTGTTTAGAGTAAAAAACTCGTTCTTGAGAAAGTGGGCATTGGAAGCGGCCTGGGGAGGGAGGGTAGCAGGATGCTATGGGCACTGATGACCTATCCTTTGCCTTCCAGAATGTGTATGCACCTGAAGATGATCCGGAGATGAAGGTGGAACATTATAAGCGCACGTTTGACCAAAATGAGGAGCTAGGGCTCAATGACATGAGGACGGAGGGCTATGAGACAGGCGCTGCCCCGCGGTAGCAGTGGACTGTTTCCCAGCCAGCCTCCTGTACTGCTCAGACCACAGGCTTATTTACTCCTATTGGACAAGCAAGGACCCCCCCACCTGCTCCTGCGAATCAAAGACCCTGGCACACTTTTTAAAGTGTGTGGTGCAAAGTTGGGTTATTTGACCTTATTTTGGAGTCAGCTTGGGAGGAGACCTGGAAGCGAACTATGAGGAATGCCACTGTCACTTTTTCCCACAAGTCTTCACCTCTGTCCACACCATACTGTCCTCTGGAGCTGCAACTCTGAAGTTGAAGAAGGTGGGAGACAGCTGCAGCTGGAGTCTAGGTGTTGGTTCTGAGTGTACAAAATACTGACTTTCCACACGAAGGGAGTCTTCCGAGGGAGGGAGTTCTCATTAAAGTGATGGCTGTCAAACGGCACTGGCCTGGAATTCACTCTCCTTAATTGATAACACTGGTAGACTCAACCTCCTGAAGAAAATGTTCTCCAATGTGGCCACTGTAATTTGGAGATTGGAGCTGCCATTTCATTCATTCCTTCACAGGTGTGTGAGTGCCCACTTCGTGCCAGGCACACACTGACCAGTGAACAAAACAAAGCGCTGCTTTTGAGAAACTTGAAGTCTAGTGGGGAAATTGACATTGGGGGAGGGGCATATTGGTAATAAACGGATTAGTAAAACAGTATGTCACGTGGTGATTAGTGTTATGGAGGGATCTAAAAGCAAAGAAGGGATATGGGTAGTGTCAGAAGGTGGGGTCGGTATTTTAAATAGAGTAGTCAGGGAATGTCTTAACAAGAAGGAAATAATCCCACATCCAGGCAAAGCTGGGAAAGAGGTAAGGGAGTAAGCCATGTGAGCAGCTGGGAGAAGAGATTTCCAGGCAGATGAAACTGCAAATGCAAGAGCTCTGAGATGGGAAGGTGTTGGGCCAGTTGGGGGTATTGGAGAGCCTCTAGTCCTGCTCTTAATTACAAATGGAGAAACCGCCTCAGCCAGAGAAGGAGGGCTGCTCCCGGTTGTGTGACTTGGCCCTCTGTGGCCGGGGGCCCTGGACTCCCCAGCGAGTGCTCTGCTCTCATTAACCCTGATGACTCCTGCAGTGCTGGCTGCAAGGTGGGAGTTCACGAAGGACCTGTTGATTGAAATATGATGGCAACCCTTAGCATTTTGTGCTGCAAAAGTAACTCGAAAGAATTGCCTGAGACGGAGGAGACTTAGTAGTGCTGCCGATCTACTCTCGCTGCTCTACTGCACTATTCTCAAAGATCACAAGTGGGGGTTTTCACTTGGGAAAATGTTCTCATTTTCTTTCTTTTTTTTTAATTTTTTTTTATGCATCCCAGTGACATTTTTTTAATTTTTTTTTATTTTATTTTATTGATTTTGTACAGAGAGGAAGGGAGAGATAGTTAGAAACATCGATGACAGAGAGTCATCAATCAGCTGCCTCTTGCACACCCCCTACTGGGGATATGCCTGCAACCAAGGTACATGCCCTTGACCAGAATCGAACCCGGGACCTTTCAGTCCCCAAGCTGACGCTCTATCCATTGAGCCAAACTGGTCCCGGCAAATGTTCTCATTTTCGATTCCTTATTTCTGTCACGTTGGACAGTGTACCATTTCTTCTCATCCCTTCTCTTGTGATGTTGCATCCCTGCTTTCCCCTGTACTTTGGCATTCCTTATGTGGCATCTCTCTGCCTCCTCCCTCTTAAATGTGTTTCCAGAGGTTCAGTTTTCAGGCATTTCTCCATATTGAAGTCTTTGGCACCTTAACTACTATCAAGTGGGACTGCCTCCCATACATGAAGCTCAAATTTCTGTGAACAAGAGTAAGGTGTTTTAAGGATTTCAAGACTAAAGGTAGCAATGATTCACAAACTATAAAGCTACAACACTTTGAATAGGCTTCTAAGCAAAGTGCTTTACCCTATTAGATTGCCTATTCATGTATGTCCAACTGACTTGGGGATCTGTGTCCTCAGTCCGTTTGATTGGTCGTTTGGTATCTTGAATGACTTTCCTTATGGGATGGTTGTGCTTGAAAGATGGGCCCTGATGTCAGGTTTGTTTCCCATGGCGGAGGGAAAAAAGGCATTCCGGTTTGTCACTGTCTTGTGAGTTTGGTGTTAGGCAATCTCAGATTCCAAGCAGTTATTGGGAATGGTAACCCGAGTTTCTGAGCCAGGAAAGACTGACTGAGGAGGAGGTACCAGACAGATAACCCAGCTAAGGTACCTCCTGCTCTGGTGGCCTTCAGTTGCACACTCGCTCCATCCAGTCTCACTATACAGCCCCATGGTGGTGAGAGTCCTACCCTCCTGCGGTGGCATATGGCATGTGGTTAATGAAATCTGTTACATGATAATTCTCAGCAGATACTTGCAAATTCTCCATCGTGTTTTGAGCCTTGTTAGGTGACCGGAGGTAGCATGGGTAACAGGTAAGGGAAGGGTCCTGCTCAAAGGCTACAGGAAGAGAACAAACTGCCAGCCTGAGAACATGTAGACTCAGTTTCACAACCATGATTAAGTTTTGTGATTATATTAGACGGGGAAGGAAGTTTGTTTGTGAGGGCACTTCTACTTCATATTTCAAGCATATTAAATATAGCCATTTTAGCCAATAGAGCTGTGAACACAGGTATGGGGTGTACATCTGTCATGATAAGAACATGGAATAAATATGGAGGGCAATTGACGTTGCTAGCACAGTGTGTTAATGGGTTCGGTAAGACTCGTAATGTCAGTATGTGTCCTTTGTACATCTGTGGCATCTCAGTTGTAGCACACTGCAGGGAATGATTCCTCTCTAAATTTAGGCAGTGTGTTCAAATACTTGGCTTTGTTTTTATTTTTAAAAATGTTTGCCCATGCCTCTTTCCAGGAGAATGGAAGTGTTTTCGACTGTGAGGAGAAGGGCGGGTGCTGGCTGTGTGTGTTTGCTCAGGATTGAGGAAGCCCTGTAGTGCCAGCACCTCTGATGTCTCAGAGTCCTGGTCTGTTAAATGGGAATAATAAAGGCAGCTACTTTGTAGGGTTTTTGTGAGGATTAGTGAGTTAGTAATTGTGAAGTGCTTTTATTTATTTTTTGTTAATCCTTACACAAGGACATTTTTTGCCATTGACTTAAAAAAATATTTTTTATTGTTTTTTTACAGAGAGGAAGTGAGGATAGAGAGCTAGAAACTTCGATGAGAGAGAAACACGACCAGCTGCCTCCTGCACACCCCCTACTGTGCCCGCAACCAAGGTACATGCCCTTGACTGGAATCGAACCTGGGACCTTTCAATCCACAGGCAAACGCTCTGTCCTCTAAGCTAAACCGGTTTCAGCTCCATTGACTTTTTAGAGTGGAAGGGATGCAGGGAGAGAGAGATCAATGTTAAAAAGAGACATTGATTGCCTGCCTCCTGCATGTGCCTGACCAGGGCCGGGGATTGAATCTGCAACCCAGGTATCTGCCCTTGAGTAGGAATTGAACCTGTGACCTCTCAGTGCACGGGCCTATGTTCTAACCACTTATGCACACGGGCCAGGACTCGAAGTGCTTTTAGAATAGATGTATTTTCTCCTATAAAAAATTTAAGGTGTCTCTGTTTCTGCTTTAAACCTTTTTTTGGGTAAAAAGTAGCTATAAATAAAATCCCCATTTTAAAGATGAAACAGCCCCAGAGGTTAGGTAACTTGTGCAAAGCAGTGTAACTGAAGATAGAAATGGGCTGATGGGGCTGAGGGGACCATGCTGCTGATGTGCGCTGGGGTAGAAATAGGAGCGTTTCCAAGTGTCTGCTGGCACCAGCGCTGTGTGGAGTTCAGTGTGAGGCGCACCAGAGGGGATTAGCATCCAAGGCAGGATTGTGTATGGGTGCCGTCGGGGCCCTCCAGCTAGTGAAGCCCTATGTTGGCCAGTGTTCCCTTCCCACAGTCTGCCTGCCTTTCTGGGCCTGTGCTGTGAGCCTCAGTATAGCCAAGTGGTTAGGAGCTCATGCTCCAGTGCAGAGATCTCCAGACTTACATTTGAACTTGTATCCCAAGATGTGTGTATTTATAAAGTGTAACAATACTTTCTTGACTAATATACTTTAAAACAGTGACAGAAATTTAACTTAGGGGATAAAAAGAATATTTTGGAAACATTGGGTTACATCTTGCACCCCACTTTGCTAGTTTCTGCTTCCAAGGGTTGGTCATGTTCTGGCGGTGTGAAGTCGGGCAAATTCCTTAACCTCTTCAAGCTTCAGTTTTCTCACCTGTAAAATAAGACTAATAAAACTACCTGAGGATTGTGAGGTTTAAATGAGATAATTCAAGTAAAGCTTTTAATGCCACAAGAAGAAAACGCTCCTTGCAAAACTTGAATATTGGAATTCAGTCTCTCGCACTTACCCCCTTTTGCTGGAAATATCCAGGTCCCTCCCATTGGCCAGGTTCTGTAATAAGAGATAGCCAGGGGCTATCGCTGTCCAACATGGGCAAGTTACAGAGTTTAGAAGCCTCTACATTCTTCTAGTAATTACATTTGTTTTGCAATTGCTCTTAAATTTTTTTAAAAGATTTTGATTTCAGAAGGAAGGGAAAGGGAGAGAGAGAAACATCAATGATGAGAGAATCATTGACTGGCTGCAACCTGGGCATAAGCCCAGACCAGGAATCCAACATGACCTCCTGGGTCACAGGTGGATGCTCAGCCACTGAGCCACGCCAGCCTGTCAGATTTCCTCTCTTGAATGGCACTCGGAAGCCTTTGAGAGCAGATTCCTTCTCCCTAAACACACTTACACCAATAAAGCCAACAATGCCATGTGCCGGACGTTATTCTAAGCATTTACAGTCCTCGCAATCGAGTTAGGTGCCATTACTCTCCTCAGCTTGTTAAATAACCTGCCCCAGGCCATAGAGCTAGGAAGTTACGGAACCCAGACTCAGACACACTGACACTCCGGAGCCTGTCTTTAGCCACTGCGTTATGTCGGGCGGGGACCTCACGGCTTCAGTCGCGCTTGCTGTGTGGGCGCCGAGCGGGCGGACGGTGGACAACGGAGGAACCGAAGCTGCGCCTTCGCAGGGATGCCGACTGCCACACCAGCCCTGGAAGCTCGAGGGAGCTCGTCCCGGTTGCTTCCGCAGTCCCCGGCGGTCCCGCCACTTCCGGTTCCGGCGCGTCCGTTTTGCGTCGCGGATTTTGACCCCCGAGCCGAGCCGTCGCCCCGCCCCGTGCTGCCATGGCGGCAGCCGCCCCACTCTCCAAGGCCGAGTACCTGAAGCGCTACTTGTCCCGGGCCGATGCCGGCGGCCACGCGGGTTCCGAGTCCGCTCTCAAGCGTCGCAAAAAGCGGCCTAAGCCTGGCGGAGCCGGCGGCAAGGGGTGAGTGGGTCTTGGCGGGGCTGCCGCCCCCGTTCCCCGTCTCCGCGGCCCGCTCTTCCTCCATCCCCGCCGCGCTGAGGGCTCCGCCGCGCTGGGGGCCCCGCCGCGCTGAGGGCCCCGCCGCGCTGAGGGACGCAGGGAGCCTGCCCTCCCCGGGACCGCGCCCCCTCCCCGGGTCCTGTGTTCAAGCCGGACTGGACTGTGACTGGCATCCCTCTTTCCCCGCCTCTGTAGCCTTCAGTCGTCTCCGGTGGAGAATGCACACTGTGCCCGGAGAATCGGGGAGCTATGCCAAAGCCCCTGTGCTCGGTGCTCAGACTCTGCCTGCGGGGCTCCCAGTCCCGGCGCTGTGGTCCCGCGGCCGACCTGTACCCACTTCCCCCCGTTACTCCGAATACTGCTGCTGCTGCTGACTGTAACAGCACTTACACAGCTCTTGTCACATGCCAGGCGCTGTTCTAGGCATTTTAGATGTATATGAATTCTCATTCATATTGCTACCATGAAGTAAGTAAATGAAGCCTTAGTCACTAAGGCTTAAGGATCAGGATGGGTGCTAAATCCTGTGTCCCGTTAGGAAGAGAGAAGTTTGGCCTGTGGCTCAGTGGTTGAGCGTGGATCTATGAACCAGGAGGTTATGGTTGGATTCCCAGTCAGGCACATGCTGGGGTTGCGCTCATCCCCGGTGTGGGGCGTGCAGGAGGCAGCCGATCAGTGATTCTCATTATTGATGTTTCTCTCTCTCTCTCTCTTCCTCTCTGAAATCAATGAAAGTATATTATGAGAGAGAGAGAGAGAGAGAGAGAGAGAGAGAGAGAGAGAGAGATAAGGTTGGACACAGAAACGTGCTTAGAGGGAAAACGACAAGTGAAGGTGGAGGCTGAGATTAGACTGGCTGCCCGGAGCCAAGGTGTGCCTGGGCTGCGAGAAGTTGGGAAAGTCAGGGAAAGAGGCTCCCCTAGAGCCCAGTGGGCTTTGCCTTGCAGATACCTTGGCATTTCAGACTCAGCCTCCAGAACTGGGAGGGAATGTATTTCTGTTGTTTTGGGCCACCCAGTTCGCCGGAGGAAACTAGTATATCTTACAAAGTCTAATAAGTCCATAGGACGGATCCCTTTTCTTCCTGGTTTGGCTTTCACCTCATTCTTGCCTTCTTTCTTCCTGCTCTCTGACTGTGGATTCTTTGGAAACAGTACCTTGTAGTGAAAATAGCTTGAGCTTTGGAGCAACACCGATCAGAGTTTGAGTCCTAGCTAGGCCACTTTAAAGGCTGTGTGGCTTTGGGGATATTTAATCCCTCTAAGCCTTAGTTTCCTTAGCTTTGAAATGAGAGTAATACTAAATGATACCACTTATATTAAATAGTGGTGGTTGTGCTTAGAGATGTATAAAGTGATCTTGGCTGTTCAGATAATAATTGTCCACACCATGGCAGTCATTGTTATTTGCAATCAGTCATAGTTTATCTGTGTAACAAATATATATTGAATACTTCTTAAGCCAGTTGCTGCAGGGTGTTGAGGATACCAGTCTGAATGAGAAAGTCTTAGTCCCTATCCTGATGGAGCTTATAGAGTAATGGGATACAGACTTAAAAAAAAATAATTTTGCAACTAATTGATTTATTTTCTTTGTGATAAGTGCAATAAAAGTATTTCAGGAATGTTTAACAGGTTCTTAGTTGGGAGAGCAGTTAGGAAGGTATTCTAATGGAAGTTATATATTAAGTTCTTAAGAATGAGTAAGAGTTTCCCAGTAAAGAATGAAAACAGTGGGTTAGGCAGGGAGAAGGAACTGAGTATGTGAAAACCTTGAAGGATTTTGAGCTTTGTCCTAAAACCAATGGGTAAATTTCATAGGCTGTTACCCAAGAATGTTTCTCCTTTTTTATTTTCCCCACTCCCCCATTTAGAATGCGGATTGTGGATGATGATGTGAGCTGGACATCTATCTCCACCACTAAACCAGAAAAGGAGGAAGAGGAAGATGATGGAGATTTGCCTGTGGTATGTATCTTTTGAGGCTGTAAGGACTTTGAAATTCAAGCCTTTCAACCTCAGCTCCCAGTGTGGGGCAGGTTTGTAAGTGGGGAGGTTGGACAGAGAATACTTCCAAAGAAGTACTATCTTCTTTTTTATGGAAGGGCCCATCAAACTGAAAATGGGAACTAATCCCAGAGAGAGGCAGGACTCCTCAACATCAGTGATAGAGCCGTGATAGAAATAGCCAGGTTCACTGTGTTGGAATGTACTTTAAAAGCAGTGCTCAGGTTCAATAGTAGGGAGCTTTCTCTTTGTATCTTTTATTCATGATTCAGCTAAACTTTGTATGCTCTTGTGTAAGTACTGGAGGTATGTGGATTAATAGGACATAGTATCGTATCCTAGCAGTCATACTCTGAAATGGCAAAGGAGTTTAGCTTTTCGCTTTCAGGGGGCAATCGTGTCCATGCCAAGTTGGTAAAAAGGTTTGTAATGAAGGAAATTAACTTTTGGAGGGAAATTGATTAGTCATAGAAAGATCTAGAATTAAACCACCCAGTGGCAATCAGGTATTTATGGAGCACACATAACAGGACCACTGCGTGGATCTTCATGGCTGTTTTGGATCTGTGTGTGTGTGATGTGTATTAGGAATGGGAATGGTTATAACTTCAGGTTCTTAGACAACAGAGCTCCGTGGCTGGATCCTGTGGATTCCTCAATGTAGTGTCCTCATTGCCACAGGTGGCTGAGTTTGTGGATGAGCGACCAGAAGAGGTAAAGCAGATGGAAACCTTTCGTTCCAGTGCCAAATGGAAGCTTCTCGGAGGTGAGTTTCAACAATAATTAAATCTAAATTTCCCATTTGTAGGGAAAGCCTTTCTTTTTTCTTTTTTTTAGGGGAGCGCATTGCTTTAATTTGTCACTGATCCTAAAAATTGAAACTTTGTAGCCTTGAGTGAAGGCTTAGGCCTGTAAGGGCAGGTGGAAAGCTTGGCTTTCTCCATTGCCAGGGAAATCCAAGCCTCCCTCCTGCTCTTTGTGGCTATAGCCATCTTGGTTGGGATTATTTACATACTTGCTCTGATTGGCTGGTGGGCATAGCTGGTGTGTAGCAGAGGTATAATCAATTTGCATTTTACTATTTTATTAGGTAGGATGGGGGTAATATTTATCTCCTAGGGTTTGAGAATTAAATGAGCTAATCTACCTCAGCATATAGTAGGTGATCAGTAATGCTGATTCTTTTTTCCTGGTGATCTCTCTCTCCAATAAGGAGTGCAGTGGCATGGATTAGTCGACAGCACTCATCTTTATGTGGCACAGGTTTAGTGAACATGCCTTTTGAAAGAAGAGAGTAAGTAGAAACTCATTCTGCTAGGCTAACCTTTCTAGGCTAAATTTCAGTAGGAGTCTCTGTCTGGGAACTCTACACAAATAAGGTTTTGAGAAAAACGTATGGTTGGGAGATAGAAGACTGGGGTTCCAGTTTGTCTCTTTATCTTGGAGTTGTAATCTGATGTGAGAAGCCATTCAGCACCTTAGAGCTTCTATTTTCACGACTGTAAACAAGATGCCTGCTCCACTTGCCTTACAAGGTATAAGATGAAAAATGTATTTAAAATGCTTTGCAAATTTATGTCTTGTTAGGTAAATAAAAGGGATTATTTTTAAGATGTTCATGAGTATTGGTTTGCTGCCCCTAAGCACAGGAGCTGTACAGGGTAGTTTTGGACTTTCTGAGTAGTTCTGAGGTGTATGCTGCTGGGGCATCTTTTGAACTTTGGGTCCTGGTGGTGAACATAGAATTTGTGGGAATCTGACTCTTTGCTCTTTGTGTTTAGACCACAATGAAGATCTTCCTTCACACAAGCATGTCCGCCATGACTCCCCGGATCCTTCTCCGCCTAGGAGGGTCCGCCATGACTCCCCGGATCCTTCTCCACCTAGGAGGGTCCGCCATGACTCCCCGGATCCTTCTCCGCCTAGGAGGGTCCGCCATGACTCCCCGGATCCTTCTCCGCCTAGGAGGGTCCGCCATGACTCCCCGGATCCTTCTCCACCTAGGAGGGTCCGCCATGACTCCCCGGATCCTTCTCCGCCTAGGAGGGTCCGCCATGACTCCCCGGATCCTTCTCCGCCTAGGAGGGTCCGCCATGACTCCCCGGATCCTTCTCTGCTCAGGAAGCATTATCGTCCTTCTGGTGTGTCTCCTAGAAGGGCCCGTCATGACACACCAGATCCATCTCCTCCGCGGAGGGCCCATCACAGTTCCTCAGATATTTCTCCTCAGAGAAAGGCCCGTAACAGCTCCCCTGACACATCTCAACCTAGAAGGACTCTTGACTCCTTGGACACATCAAAGCTCAGGAGGGCCCGTCATGACTCCCCTGATTCGCCTCCTGATGTTCCTCATTCACTGCACAGAACCAAAAGCAGTAAAGCCCCAGAACGAGCCTCTAGCAAAACTTCTCCTCATCGGAAGGGGCCAGGACCCTCTCATCCCTCAGCCCCGAAGAACAGCAAGTACGAATGTGACTCGGACCTCTCTCCACCACGGAAAAGGCAAGCAAAATTTCATTACGGAAATAAACAGCATGAGTCTAAAGGTGAGCATTGATTGTCCACGAGGGGACTTGGTCCCTAGACACTTTATTTTGAATCTTTTACTTGTTAGGTATTTATGTCTTTAGAAATGAGAATAAAGTTTTTTTGGAGAAATTTTAAAAACTAGAGGGAAATGGTGAGAGGTTGGGCTGAAGAGTTAAATATTTATAGTAGAAGGGAAGAAGTTTTTATATATCCTTTTGTTGTCCTCACAGGACATAAAAATGCTATGTTTGTTGTAGAAACATCAGCATGTCTAGAAATATATAAAGGAGCAGAAAAAAATCATGCAAACTTCTGTTATTCAGAGGCAATCACTAGTGTTGTAGCCAGTGTTCATTTTAGTCTTTTCTTTCTTCATTTTTTTTAAAAGATTTTTTTTATTGATTTTGAGAGAGAGGTAGGGAGAGAGAAAGAACATCAGGTAACCTTTTGGTGCATGGCACAATGCTCAATGGACTGAGCTACCTGGCCAGGGCTCTCTGTTCATTTTTTATATAGTTTAGCCCTCTCTGTGTACTACTGTATTTACGTGTTGCATGAATTATCTTGCCTGGTTTTTTCACTTATCATTAACTTCCCCATGTCATAAAACATTTCTTTGTTAATATAATTTTTATTGGTGTTGTATTACATAAATTTAGTTAACCATTTCCCTAATATTGCATATTTTAGGTTGTTTCTAAATCTTGCTCTCATAATCCCATATGATAAAAGCCTAATATGCTAAGTGTCCAGTTGGCCATTCAACCAATCAAAGCATAATATGTTAATGATAATGCAGAGGCCGCACTGACCACCAGGGGGCAGACGTTTTAACCAGTAGGTTAGCTTGCTGCTGGAGTCCCGCTGATCAGGACTGAGCAAGATGGGTCGGACATGTCTTGGAGCCTTCTGCGGTCCCTCCCCTGCTGGCCAACTTCCTGCATCCCTCCCCGGCCCTGATTGTGCATCCGGGACTTCTTGGATGTCAGAGCTACAGTAGTTTTGTCCCAATCCCGCAGGCCAGGCCTAAGACCCCACTGGTGCATGAATTCGTGCACTGGGCCTCTAGTTCTATAATGAACATCTGTGTACATAAACTGTTCTCATTCTGGATGATTTCCTTCTCTGCTTCTAGATAGGTTTCCTGGAAATTAAGTACTTCTAGATTTGTTTCCTAGAAGCTAAGTAGAAATTGATTTTCCAGGTTGTATGTTTTAAAAACCATTGATACATATTGCCAATTGCTTTTGTGATGCTAATGTTTATAATTCAGGCCTGTGGTGAAATTTTTTATCCCGTTTAGTCCCCAGTTACTGTCTTAATTTTTAAATTAAAATACATTGTTATCCTTTAGTCTGAGGACTTCAGAATGTATCGTAGTTAGTTTTAACTTAACACACCACTAAGATCTGCGTGCATGTTATTTTGCCCATTCTGAGTGTGGTTAAATGTGACATAGAGGAATATTTGAGATCTCACACACAATCACAGTCGTTGGTGACTTGGGAACAGAACTCCACATCCTGCCTATTGGTTTTGAAAACTGTCCCTGACTTTGCTCTTCTCCCATGTCATCTGATCTTGTGTTTAGGTTAGTGATGCATGAGGACTAAATGAATGTCCAACAGTAAGTGACTAAGTTCTTTTTAAGATTCCAACATGGGGATTAAAGACTTTATTCTTTAATTTCTAGGCTCTTCACCCAGCCATAGGAAACTTCATACGAGTTCGTCACCTAGAAAACATCAGAGTCACATGATGGGCTCTTCTTCCTACCCAGGAGACAGTCGGAAAGCCTCTGATTCAGACCTTTCTCCTCCGAGGAAGAAACCAAGTTCAAGGCCCCAGGGTTCCGATTCCGATCTGTCACCTCCACGGAATAGACCTAGGCACCACAGCTCTGATTCTGACCTCTCTCCACCAAGGAGGAAACGGAGGGCCAAATCCTCTGATTCTGACCTCTCTCCACCTCGAAGGGCTCAGCCTCTGGGAAAGAAGGTAGGAATTTTCAGGAGCCATATCTTTTCTTAGAGCAGCAGTTGCCAGTCGATGGTCTGTGGACTGCAGGGTCAAAAAGGTTAGTGACCGCTGTCTTAGAGTGATTTCTGTCTTCTAGCTCTAGCCAAGGCCCAGAGATCTGAGCCAGTGGAGGGGGAGGCAGCTCTTGGTAGTGCAGTAAATCTAGTTCAGAGGAGTGCTCCGGCTCTTTCCTTCTCTCTGAAGGCAGGACTGCCTATAATACAGCCCAGGTGAACTTACAGAAACAGAGTTCCTAAGTAGTGTCTCCTTTATGTCATCTTAATTCCATAAATCTCATTTTAAATAGGTTTAGGAAAACTTCCTCTTTTCTTAGTACAATAATAAACTGAGAACTATAGTTTACAGAGTGGGGTTAGCACAAACTTTATGTCAAATGTTATGTATTCAAATCCTACCTTTCCCACTTTCTATCTGTGAAATTTGAGTAAGATACACATCTCTAAGCCTCAGCTTCTTCATTGGTAAAATATGGATAATAGTATATACTTCATAAGTTTATTGTGGAAATTAAATGAGTTAGTGTAAGTAAAATGTTTAGTACAGTACGTGGAACAAAGTAAATAATTACAATAAATTGGAGTGCAGGTTAAAGAGAGGCACTTAAAATATAAAACTACTTCATATCACCTGGAAAGCCAGTGTTTTGTTTTATTTGAAATCTGTGATGAAGCCCGCGTGAGGGGGGGAAAAAATCCATGAACCTTGAGTAACTGTGTTATAAAGAATACAAGTATGAGGAAAGGAGTCTTATTCCAGTGAGTGGGTTAGGAAACAGTGTTAGAGCCAGTGGTGTGTGCAGAGATTTCTTAGGTGGGTCTTCTCTGCAGCCCGCGTGGTCCTGGCAGGATCGACTGGTTGTCCCTAACCCAGGAAGTGAGGTTCTTTTGTTTTGGGTCACAAAGTGAGGGCTGTGTTTTAGCTGGACTCCTTGGTATTTTATGTATCTGTTTAGTCCATAGGTAATTTAATATTGATCAGATTTAGCACATGGCTTAAGGATATTAGGATATATATACTGCATGTTCCATTTGTGGGTTGATTTGTCACCTTGATAAAAGGTGGAGTTTAGTAAAAAGTTTTTATTTGGTCAGATTTTTTCTTTATCCTGAAATATATCTATGATTTAAGGATCTTAGGTTTGAATTTGCATTTTAAATGGAATATTTTATTAGTGTTAGTCTCTGATGGAGGGCTTAGAGCTTAACACAGGTTTCTGGTCAGCTGGCCTGAGAGTGAGTCCTCATGTGTTAAGTTTATATATGCGAAAAAATCAGAATACAGATGCTTAGCCTTCCCTTTAATATCTTCTTGGTTTGTATTTTTGTTTACTCTTAAATTTGATAGTACTATTAGTTTTTCATGAAACTCTATTTCTTCTTTCCTATCTTGTGAATCCTGAGAATAAGATATAAAATTAGCGTTTTTGATTTGGTTATTGCTGATCGTCAGACAAAATGCACATAACTGTGTATACTCATAGAGCCTGCAGCTGCATCATCTCATTAATGTTGGACGCTCCCTTTCCATTGCATAGGCTGCACACATGTATTCTGGGGCTAAGACTGGGTTGGTGTTAACTGACATACAGCGAGAGCAGCAGGAACTCCAGGAACGGGACCAAGGAACCATGGCATTGGAAGGTAAAATTACAAAAGTGCAACGACCAATTGAGGCTCAGATAGCTTTTCTTTTTTAAATGTAGCTTATTGTACCTGATGTTTTAAACTTTTAATTGCTATCAAGTTTGATTTCTGCTTTTAGGCATTATTTTAACTTCTCAGTGGGTCCAAATGGTACTTTTCCTTCTTGAAAAAAATAGTAGTTTTCAGGATCATCACCAGTAGGTACTTCTAGTCTGGCTGCAGGAGTTCTTATTTATTATAGCATTAAAATTCCAGGTGTTTGATGTCAGCTATTAAAATATTATTTCTGATTTTGATACCTGGTGTTTATCTTTAAAAGAATAATTTTCCTTTGTAGCTGAATTCCAGTATGCTGAAACCGTATTTCGAGATAAGTCTGGTCGTAAGAGGAATTTGAAACTGGAACGTTTAGAGCAAAGGCGAAGATTAGAGAAGAACTCGGAGAGAGATGAGCTGTATGCCAAGTGGGGAAAAGGGTAAGGAACCATGAAAGGTAAACTAGACTACAGTGACTGGAGGGAGTTATTTCTCAGAGTTCCCTCTGACTAGCTGGTTTATGTTTTGCCTTCAAGCTATTTCCAGGCCCTCACTGGGGTGGCTCAGTTGGTTGGATATCAACCCGTGCACCAAAAGGTTTGATTCCTGGTCAGGATGCATGCTTGGGTTGCAGGCTTGATCTCCAATTGGGGGTGTACAGGAAGCAGCCGATCAGTGGATCGATGTTTCACTCTCATGTTAATGTTTCTCGCTCTCTCTCAAAATCTATTTTAAACTTTTTTTTTTTTTTTTTTAAATGAAAGCTGTTTTCAAGAATGGAAAATTCATTGTGTTCAGAATATATCCTTTCAGTGATAAATTCTGCACTTGCAGTTGGTATTCTACCCTGTTTCCCCGAAAATAAGACAATGTCTTATATTAATTTTTTCTCCCAAAGTTGCACTAGATCTTATTTTCAGGGATGTCTTTCCATGCGCTAGGTCTTATTTTCGGAGGATGTCTTATTTTCGGGGAAACACGGTAGGAATTTTACCCTTTTCAATATTTGGCCTAGGCTTCTAGAAAGAGGAGGTTCTCTAGATGTAGCAGTGTGTCCATGTCGGTGTAAAAGAGTAGAAATGTTAAACAGTATTGCAAACAATCTTGGTTCTTTTGCCCAGGCTTGTCCAGAGCCAGCAGCAGCAACAAAATGTGGAGGATGCAATAAAGGAAATGCAGAAGCCTCTGGCCCGCTATATTGATGATGAAGATCTGGATCGGATGCTGAGAGAACAAGAAAGGGAGGGGGACCCTATGGCCAACTTTATCAAGAAGAATAAGGCCAAGGAGAACAAGGATAAGAAAGGTGAGCCTTCTGGGAATCATCAGCGGTGCAGGTAACTTAGGTGAGAGAGAGAGTCATTAGGGTGGTGATAGATAGCTATGTGCAAAGAAGGCTTCCCCATACAATCTAGATTCCTTGTATTTGGGAGTTTAGATTCCACATAATAGAGATTTCTGTATAACATCCCCTACCCCCCAAGCCCCAGCCCTGCTGTCTTCTAGCTCTGGATTGAATAGTATAAATAATGGACCTGTTTTCTCTCTTATCTCATTAGTGAGACCTCGCTACAGTGGCCCAGCACCTCCTCCCAACAGATTCAATATCTGGCCCGGGTATCGTTGGGATGGAGTGGACAGGTAAACCTGAATATTTCCTACATTTTTGTTTTTCCTTCTAGCTGATCCTAACCTTCCCTAACTGTAAGTCACTCTACACTCTGCCTCATTCTCTGCCCTAATGACTAGGTTAATAATTTGAAGTTTGCTTGCTTCTGTTTCCAAGGTCCTCAAATCTCATTGCCCATGCTTAGAACACCCTTTCTCCTTTTTTCATTTTCAAAGCTTAAAAAGCTCTGCCCAAACAACTCAGATGATCCTTTGTTTTTGACATTGTCACTTTTAATGGTATTTCCCAAAGTTTTTCCCATTTGGGAAGTATTTGGCAATTTTTTCTTCAATTCTTTTTTTCCCCTTGAACCACTCTTTTCCAATTACACTATTATTCTACCACTTGATATTCTCCCACAGGTCTCTGAAATCTTGTTTATTTTTCTATCATTTTTCTCTATTCTTAAGATGGGACAGTTTCTTTTATCTGCTATCAAGTTCATTGACTCTTTGATCTGCCACCTTCAGTCTATTAGGCCTATACAATGAATTTTTCATTTAAACTAGTTCATTGTATTTCAACTCTAGAATGTCCATTTGAACGTTTATATTTTTCTGCTGATAACTCCTATCCGTGTACTCACTAAGAGACATTTTTGTCTTTCTTGAGACTATCCTATATAATAAAGAGGTAATATGCAAATTGACCATCATGCCAACACACAAGATGGCTGCCCCCATATGGTCAAAGATGGCCACACCCATGTGGATACAAGATGGCCGGCAGGGGAGGGCAGTTGGTGGCAACCAGGCTGGCAGGGGAGGGCAGTTAGGGGTGACCAGGAATACAGGGGCAGTTGAGGGCATCCAGGCCTGAAGGGGAGGGCAGTTAGGTGGGACCAGGCCTGCAAGGGAGGACAGTGTGTTGGGGGGAACCAGACCAGCAGGGGAGGGCAGTTGGGAGCAACCAGGCCTGCAGGGGAGGGCAGTTGGGGGGACCAGACTGGCAGGGGAGCAGTTAGGCGTGGATCAGGCTGGCAGGGGAATGGTTCATGAGTGATCAGGCTGGCAGGCAGGCAGGCGAATGGTTGGGAGCCAACAGTCTTGGATTGTGAGAGGGATGTCCCACTGAGATCTGGCCTAAACAGGCAGTCGGACATCCCTTAAGGGATCCCAGATTGGAAAGGGTGCAGGCTGGGCTGAGGGACTCCCCCCCACCCCCATGAGTGAATTTTGTGCACCAGGCCTCTAGTTTAAAATAGTGCTTTAAGGTCCTGTCTGCTAATTGCAAATTTAGGTCACATCAGGATTTTTTTCTAATAATAGCTTCTTCTTGAGTTTGATCCCATTTTCTGTTTCTTTGCATGTTTGGTAATTTTCTTTTTTTATTTTATTAATTTATTCCCCCACCCCCATTAAAAAAAAATTTTTTTTTCAACTACAGTTGGCATACATTATTATATTAGTTCCAGGTATATACCCCAGGGTTTAGCCATTACATAATTTAGTAAGTGGTCATCTCAATAAATCTCACACCCATCTGACACCATTCATACTAATGAGAATATTATTGCCTAAATTCCCTATGCTGTGCTTTACATCCCCATGACCATCTGTAACAACCAATTTGTACATCTTGATCCCTTCATCTTTTTCACCCCTTTCCCAACTCCCCTCCCATCTGGCAACCATCAACATATTCTCTATCAATGAGTCTGTTTCTGTGCCATTTGTTCATTGATGTTATTTTTTTTCTTGCCATTTTATTGCTCATATTTTTTATCTTTCTCTTCCTCCTCCTCCTTCCTTTTCTTTTTCCTCTCCTTCTTCTGCAAGCAGGCCCTTTAGCATTTCATATAATATTAGTTTGGTGTTGATGAACTTTAGCTATTTATTGTATGGGAAGTTTTTTATCTGTCCTTTGATTCTAAATGATAGCTTTGGCTCTAGCCATTTCGGCTTAGTGGGTAAAGAGTCAGCCTGGAGGCTGAAAGTTCCCAGGTTTGGTTCCAGTCAAGGATACATACCTTGATTGCAAGCTTGATCCCTGGCCCTGGTTGAGGTGTGTGCAGGAGGCAGTCAATCAATGTGTCTTTCTCCCAATGATGCTTCTCGTTCTCTGTCTCTCCCTACCACTATCTCTAAAAATCAGTGGAAAAATAACCTTGAGTGATGATTAACAAAACAAACAAGCAAATAAAATAAATGATAGCTTTGCTGGGTAAAATAATCTTGGTTATAGGTCCTTGGTTTTCATCACTTTGAATATTTCTTGCCAATCCTGCCTGGCATACAAAGTTTCTGTTAAGAAATCAGCTGACAGTCTTATGGGAGCTTCCTTATGGTATTAAGTAACTGCTTTTCTCTTGCTGCTTTTAAGATTATGTCTTTGGCCCTGGCCAGTGTGGCTCAGTTGTTTAAGTGTCATTATATGTTCTGAGGGGTTGCTGGTTCAATTTCCGATTAGGGCACATACCTAGGTTGTGCGTTTGGGGTGTGCCACAGGCAACCAATTGATTTCTCTCTCTCCTTCTTCCCTTCTCTCTCTCAAATCAATAGAAATATATATTTTTTAGAAGCACAAAAAGATTCTCTCTTTGTTGTTAACCTTTTGCATTTTAATTATGATGTGTCTTGGTGGAGGCCTCTTTGGGTTTATCTTTTTTTTATTTTTATTTTTATTTATTTATTTATTTTTTTTATTTTTTATTTTATTTTTATTTATTTTTTTTTAATAAGTTTTTATTGTTCATATTATTACAAATGTTCCTTTCCCCCCCCCCCCCCACCATTGCTCTCCTCCACCAGGTTCCCACCCCACCCTCTGCCCTTTCCCCTCTCCCCATTGTCCTCATCCATAGGTGCACAGTTTATGTTCAGTCTCTTCCCACGCCCCCCTCTCCCCTTTTCCCCAAGAATCGTCAGTTCACTCCCCTTCCATATCTCTGATTCTATTATATTCAACAGTTAATATTGTTCATCAGATTTTTTTTTAATTTCCTTGGTTTTTAGATTCACTTGTTGATAGTTACGTATTTGTTGTTCATAATTTTTATCTTTGTTTACCTTCTCTTCTGAAAGAACCCCCTTCAGCAATTCATATAATTCTGGTTTGGTGGTGATGAACTCCATTAGCTTTTTTTTATTAGTGAAGCTCTTTATCTGGCCTTCGATTCTGAGTGATAGCTTTGCTGGGTAGATTATTTTTGGCTGTAGGTTCTCGCTATTCATCACCTTGAATATTTCTTGCCATTCCCTTCTGGCCTGCATGGTTTCTGTTGAGAAGTCAGCTGACAATCGTATAGGTGCTCCTTTATAGGTTACTACCTTCTTTGCTCTTGCTTCTTTTAATATTCTCTCTTTGTCTTTTGCTCTTGGAATTTTAATAATGATGTGTCTCGGTGTGGTCCTCTTTGGATTCCTTTTGTTTGGAGTTCTGTGTGCTTCCTGGACTTGTAAGTCTAATTCTTTCACCAGATGGGGGAAGTTTTCTATCACTATTTCTTTCAGTATGTTTTCGATATCTTGCTCTCTCTCATCATCTGGGACCCCCATAATTCTGATGTTGGTTCGCTTGAAGTTGTCCCAGAGGTTTCTTACATTATCTTCAATTTTCTGGATTCTCTTGCCTTCTAGCTTCTGTGGAGGAGTGTCTTCTGGCTCTTTATGTTCCAAATCTTTGACTTGATTCTTGCGATCTTCCCTTCTGTTTTTAGGACTCTGTAAAATATTTTTTATTTCAGACAATGTATTCTTTATTTCTTGTTGCTCCCTTATCATTTCTTGTTGACTCCTTATTAATTCTAGTTGATCTCTTTTCATATCCTCGTAGGCCTTATCCATCTTTTCTAGGAAATTCTTGAAAAACCTTGTAAGCGTAGATTTGAACTCTATATCCAGACGCTTTTTGTCCTCCATTTCTTTCGTTTGTGATCTATTTTGTTGTCGCATTTCGCAGTTACAGATGGGGCGGGGTTTCAGGGTGGAGCCTACAGCCTTGGCTTCTGTCAGCCCCGCCCTATGCGGGTCCTTCAGTGCTCGCTGCCGGCGCCTCTGAGAGAAAGGTGCCCTCGATTTTCGCCTGCTGCCAAACAGTCTATGCTCTCCCCCAATGAGCCCGGTATTGGGGTTCAGTTCAGTTGGAAGTGGAGTTGGAGGTGGCGTTCAGAGCAGTCTGGAGCCCCAGTCTCCTTCCCGTCAGGGCAATCCCGCGGCACAGCCGACCGTCCTTTCTCTGCGCGCAGTGTGCGCACCTCCGGGACCTCCTTTCGCCTCTCCCCGGGGTTCCGCCTTACAGCCCGGCTCCCTATGGCAGAGCCTGAGTCCCCGGGGTCTGGCTTAAAACTGGGGATCAGAGCAGTCGGGGGCCCAGCACAGTCGGAGTTTTATCTCCTTTCCGCTAGGGAACGCCCGCCAGGCACTCGGCCTCCCTCCTCTCCGGCTCCGTCCTCTCCGCGCACCGCGTCTCCGTACCTTGGCTTTTCCAGCTCCTCCGCACCTCCTTCTGGTTTTCTCCTTGCTTCTCACTGTAGAATTTCCAGTCAGTCAACCTTCCTGTAGTTCTGGGCAATGTCCGTTTTATATTTTAGTTGTATTTTATTGAAATTGTTGTGTGCGGCTGCGGCTAGGTGTTCACCTGGGCGCAGCCATCTTGGATCTCCCTGGGTTTATCTTATTTGGGACTCTGTGCTTCCTGACTTGTATGTCTGTTTCATTCACCAAGTTAGGAAAGTTTTATATCGTTATTTTTTCAAATATATTTTCAATTTCTTGCTCTCTTTTTTCTCCTTCTGGAACCCTCATGATGTGAATGTTGGTATGCTTGAAGTTGTCCCAGAGGCTTCTTACACTAACCTCATTTTTTAAAAATTCTTTTATTTTAGTTATGGTGATTAGGTGTTTTTTGCTTCTTTATATTACAAATTGCTGATTTGATTCTCGGTTACATCTATTCTACTGTTGATTCTCTGTAAATTATTCTTTATTTCAGTTAGTGTATCCTTTCTTATGCTGTTGAGGTTCTCACTAAGTTCATTGAGCATCCTTATAACCAATGTCTTGAACTCTGTACCTTGTAGATTCCTTGGCTCCATATTATTGATATATTTTTTGTTTGTTTGTTTTCCTGGAGGTTTGTTCTGTTCTTTCATTTGGGACATTTTTCTTTGTTGCTTCATTTTGGCAGCCTCCCTGTTTTTGTTTCTCTGTATTAAATAGAGCTGCTCCGTCTCCCAGGCTTGGTAGGGTGGCCTTGGTAGGGTAGTTGTTCTGTAGGGTCCAGTGGCGCATCCTCCCCATTCACCCAAGCTGGGCACTCTAGGTGGGCCCCCTGTGTGGACTGTGTACATTCTCCTCTTGTAGTTGAGCCTTGATTGCTATTGGAACGTCAGTGGGAGGGATTTGCCCCCAGGCCTATCAATGGTAAGGACTGGCTGCAACCGCTGACCACTGACCACTGACCTCCAACCATTATGGAGGATCAGCTATGCCATAGGCCCACTCCACAGAACAGAACTTACTTCAGTGTGGCTCTTGTGTCTGCTCAGTCAAACTTGTATGTGTTGAAAGGAAGCGCTTTACAGCTTCTACACAAGGCCACCCTACCAAGTGGAAGTGGTTGGGTAGTGATGTTTTGATGTGGTCTGAGGCTGTGGGGCTTTTTGGGAGGTGTAGGCCAAGGTCAGCTACTGCCTGTGTTCTTCCCAAAGCCACCCAGCATGAGCCACAGAGCAATCTGAAGATGGAGGCTATTAGTGCTGGGCTTGAAAGTGCCCAGGTGATGCCAAGCTGTGAACCAAGTCTGGCTGCTGCTAGTGCCAGGCCTGGAGCAACTTGGCCATAGGTATGGGATACACTGAGGCTAGATGCTGCTCCTTTTACAGATTTTAGGAAAACCTTTTCCATTTGTATGTAACAGCCACTGGAAACAGCTTGGATGGACCTGACAGTTGCACCAGGTGCAAACAGTGTGAGCCAGGTTGATAGAATCTCAGATATGGCACCTGCCTGCTGGCTCTGTGGGGGGCAGGTTCATCAAAGAAACAATGGCCTCTGCCAGCACCTCTATCGGTAGAATGCTGCCCCTCAGCTTTTGCCCTAATGCTGGACAATATAGTTCCTCCCCATGTGTCCCTGGTCCCTATTAAGCTGCTGCCCCAGTGCTGGAGCTCAGAAGAAATGAGTCTATAAGTCCATGCATGGGCTATTTTAGAGCAAGTGCCTGGGACTCCAGCAGCCCGCTGCCTCCCTCAGTTTCAATTCCCTCATGAATTTTATATTTTGTTCTTTTGGTTCTATTGCATGTACCTTAAATATTTCTCATGCCTTATTTTCTTCCTTATTCATTAATTGTGAACTCTTTTTCTTTTTTTTCTTTTTTCAAAAGTAAGTGTCCAGTTCAGGATTCTGGCTGATTGATATCTCTTGATTGCAGATCCAATGGATTTGAACAGAAGCGCTTTGCCCGGCTTGCCAGCAAGAAGGCAGTGGAGGAGCTTGCCTACAAGTGGAGTGTTGAAGATATGTAACTTTTCTGAGGCTGTGGGGTCCCTGGGGGTTGTGGGAATGGACACGGACCAGCCAGATGTCTCTCCGTAAAAGCTGTCTATGCTAATAATCGGGGCCCACACACACCAGCAACTCTGAATGCTGGTTTTGACCACTTGAGAAGAACTTCACCATTTGAAAAGAAGAATATCTGAAACCTGATGTTTGGACTGAGGCACCTGTCATTTCTCAGGTGTGCCAGCATTGGTGGTGGTTGCTGGCTTTCAGAAGAAACATTGATTTCTAGTGTCCCAGGGTTTGTTCTTGGTTAGGTTTTTTAATAAACATACATTTATTTTTTTTAAATCACTTTCTGAACTGGATATTCTGTTTCTGGGAAGAATACAAGCTAATAATATTGAACCCCCAGGGATCATGGAGGGTAACGGTTGGATTTTTCATTTACCTGGTATATAGAAAGCAGGATAGTAGTTGTACAATGCCTCCTAACTGGGTTTCGCTTTCTGTGGTTTCAGTTATGCATGGTCAGCTATGTCTGAAAATATTCAATGAACAATTCCAGAAATAGTAAGTTTGAAGTTGCCCATTGTTTTGAGTAGCATGATGAAATCTTGCTCTGTTCCACTCCATCCTGCCCAGGCTCAGAATCATCCCTTTGCCCAACATCTCCATGCTCTATATGTTACTCACCCATTAGTCACTGGGTAGCCATCTGGATTATCAGATTGACTGTTGTAGTATCTCAGTGCTTGTGTTCAAGTAACCCTTATTTTACCTACTAATGGCTCCATAGCGCAAGAGTAATGGTGCTGGCAGTTTGGATATGCCAAAGAGAAGCTGTAAAGCGCTTCCTTTAAATGAAAGGGTATGTGTGTACAGGAAAAAACATGTATATATAGGGTTCAGTACTACCTGTGATTCCAGTGTCCACTGGGGGTGTTGGAATGCATTCCCTGTAGATAAGGGGAGACTACTGTGTCAGTGAAAACTTCCACAGTGATAGGGCTTTCCTCTTAGAAAACAAGAAGCTAAACTGGATTTAGGAATGGACATGGCTATTGAGAGACATGATAAAGGTAGTATCACAAATTAGTGGGGAAAAGATGGATAATGGTGCTCAGAATCCCCATTTCAAACCATATAAAACAACCACAAATACCACAATGATTAAAGACCTAAATGAAAGGTAAAGTCCTAAAGCAAATTAGAAAAAACAGAGAATGTCTTTATAACCTTGGGGTGAGGATAGATTTGTTAGGATCCCTAAAACACGAGATTTGATAGCTTTAACTTCATAATTAAAGATTTTTAGTTAACAAAGCATCCTATAGGCAAGGCTACCGATGGGTTGCATTTAGAAGAAAATATTTGCAGTGTCTGAACTGACAAGGGATTGCATTATATAGGGATTGAATATAGAAATAACTGCAAATTGGGAAGAGAAAAATGTGCAAAGAATTTAAATAGGTAAAATCTTAAAGGGAAAACCAGAATGGCTAATAAGTATATTACCTCATCAATAACTAGAGAAATGCAAATGAAAACATGAATGAGTTTCTATTAGTTTGGCCAAAACAACAAGAGACCGAACTTATGGGAAATGAAAACTCATGGGAGTTTCAACTGGTTCTTTCATTCTGGAGAACAAATGGGCAATACTTAATTGAACTATTAATAAATAATATCTGGATGCAGTATTGAATAGTTTTTAAGAATGTACAGTATGTTGCCACTATACTGCAAGTGTGTGACCTTGATGAGTCCATTTCACTGTGCCTTAGTTTCTTCATCTGTGAAATGGAGATAATAGTAATTAACTCAGGTTTACTGTGAGCTGAGAACAGTGCCTGACACATAGTACATGTCACAGAATTGTTGGTTGTTACTATCATTGACTTCCTCATCAAGTGTTCATAGCCATCTTCCATGAGGGCCCCCAGTGCTCCCTGATTCAAGTATTAGAGCCCTGTGTTGTACCCTCCCACCACAGGGGTGTGTAATGATAGGATGTATGGAAAATGTGTGGCTTTTGCGTCTAAGTTATAAAAGACAACATAGAAACATCTGCCTTGAGGACACTCAAGCAGCCCTTCAGGGAGGTCCATATGGAAAAGAACTGAGCCTCTCACCAATAGGCACCACCAAGTCACCAACCATTTAAGTGAACTTTGGCGTTGGAGCTCCTAGCTTCGTTTGAGCCTTAAAAGAAAGAAAGAGTCCTGGCGTGTGTGGCTCAGCATCCTCCCTGCACCAGAACGTCACCAGTGCGATTTCTGGTCACACACATACCCGTGTAGTGGTTCAATCTCTAGTCGGGGTGTGTGCAGGAGACAACCCATAGATGCTTCTCTCATAGCAATGTTTCTGTCTCTCTCCCTTCCCCTCTCTCTAAAAAACACAAAACACAGGCACAAAAAACAAAACAATAAAAACATATTTAAAAGAAAATAAAGATGTGTGAGGCCCTGATCAACTGTGACCGCAGCCTCTATGAGATACTGAGCCAGAATCACCCAGGTTCAAATTCTTAATCCAAAGAAACTGAGATTATAGGTGTTTATTATTTTATTAGTAGCCCTGCGCACGGATCTGTGCGCCAGTAGCTCACTACCACCCTCCAATAGCTCTCCACCTGCTGCCCCGCCCTCCTGTAGCTGCCCCAATCCCTCTTCCCTCCACCCCATCATAGAGGTTTTCCAATGGATGGGACAGTTGCTTCTCCCCAGGATAAAGCTGCCTGGGTGAGAAAGGTCTGCCTGAGAAAGATGTCCTCTGCAATATGGGAGAATGACTCAGCACAGGGATCCATCTGCACGCCAAGCTCTATCCCCAGATCCCCCAACCCTGGGTTCTCCTCACACCTCTAGTCCGCTCTGCCCTCCCTCTGCTGGAGCCCCAGGCTGCACATGAAATTTTGTATGTTGGCCCTCTAAGAAAGTGCCTGCATTTCCAACCATCTCTCCCTGGCAGGCAGAAACCCTGCTGCTTTTCAAAGCCAGATGTTACACGGGCACCTTTCTCAGTTCTGATAATCTGGGCTGGTGAGTTCAGCTTAGGCTTTAGACCCGGAGTTCTCAGGGGCAAACCCCACAGCTGAGATAACCCTCTGGAACACCAGTTCCCAGGGGTGCCCGGAAAGCCCTCTCACACCTTTGCACTTCCTACCAGTCTATGTGGTCTCCATTTTATGTCCTTGGTTATAAGGTTTCTCTCCAGCTAGTCTTGGTTATAAAGGATGATTTTTTCTGTATTTTAGTTGTAATTCCAGTTTGGTCCTGGGGAAATGTCAGTGTAGTTCCACTTAATCCACTGCTATCTTGGAATAATTTTTTTTTAAAGTTTTTTTTTAATTGATTTTAGAGAGAGAGAGGAAGGGAGGGGGAAAGAGAGAGAGAAAACATCGATGAGAGAAAAACATGGATCAGCTGTCTCCTATCTTTTGGAGGGTCTGTGGTGAAGGCCAATGTCAGACACTGGGGATTGAGCTGTCAACATGGGCATGTACCCTGACTTGAAATTGAACCAACAACCTCTTGAGGCATGGAACGACATTCAACCAACTATGCCACATCAGCTGGGCTCCTTGTGGCAGTTTAAAAAAATATATTGATTGATTTTAGATAAAGAGAGAAAGGGAGAGAGAGAGAAACATCAATTTGTTCTACTTATTTATGCATTCATTGGTTGCGTCTTGTATGTACCTTGACTGGAGATGGAACTCACAACCTTGATGTATCAGCAGGATGCTCTAACCAGCTGAGCTATCCATCCTGGGCCCTCATTGTGTGTGTGTGTTTTTTTTAAATTGTTTGTTTGTATTTTTGTTAATTCTCACCCAAGGGTGTTTTTCCATTGATTTTTAGAGTGAAAGAGAGAGGGAAAGACAGAAACATTGATGTGAGAGAAACACATCGATTGGTTGCCTCTTGTACATGCTCCTACCAGGGCCCATGCTGGGGAGGAGCCTGCAACCAAGGTATGTGCCCTTGACCAGAATTGAACCTAGGACCCTTTGGTCTGCAGTTTGACACTCTATCCACTGAGCCAAACTATCTAGGGCCGTTATTGGGGTTTTGATGTACATTTCCCTAATGACTGATGATGCTCACTATCTATTGTATTTTCTTTAGAGAAATGTTTATTCAAATCCTTTGCCCATTTCTTAATTGGGTTATTTGACATACACTCATTTATATTCTAGGTTACAAGTCTCATTAAATATATGATTTGTAAATATTTTCTCTCATTCTGTGGGTGTTATTGTATTAAGCTGCTGATTTGAAGTAATTTGTCTTATAGAAATAACTAATGCCTTAAATATGTTCATATCTTACTTCAAAGCAGTTCCATCCTGGCCAGATCCTTTAGAGAATTTACACATATCTACCAGGAGTTACATATAAGGATGTTTACGTATGTACTAGCAGCATGGTACATGAATTTGTGCACAGGTGGGGTCCCTTGGCCTGGCTAGTGATCAGGGCCCATCGGGGCTGCGGGAGGGGGAGGGGCCAAGGAAGGTTCCGATTGGGGCCTTTGGAGCTGGTTGGGGGGAGGGGCTGCAGGAGGTTGGCTGTGGGAGCGCACTGATCACTGGGGGAAGCTCCGGCATTGAGTATCTGCCCCCTGGTGGTCAGTGTGCATCATAGTGACTGGTTGACTGGTCATTTGGTTGTTCAGTCATTCTGTCATTTAGGCTTTTATATATATAGATAGTTGGACAGCAATATATTGGAAGCAACTTAGATATCAGTCCCTATATGAAGTGATAAGTAAAATGTGATTTATGCCCAGAATATTACAAAAAGCTTTTAGATGTGGGCAGTTAAGGATTTAATGACATGATAGACTCCAGGCAAGGAAAATAAGTAGAAATCAAATTTATAGCAAAGATCAGCTAAGTAAATTAAATACACATTTATTTATTTTTTAATCCTCACCTGAGTATATTTTCCATTGATTTTTTTTTTTTTAGACTGGAAGGTAAGGAGAGAGACAGACAGAGAATTATCAGTATGAAAGAGACACATGGATTGGTTGCCTTCCACACATGCCCTGACCAGGGCTGGGGATCAAGCCTGCAACCGAGACACATGCCCTTGATCTGAATTGAACCTGGACCCTTCAGTCCACAGGCTGACACTCTATCCATTGAACCAAATTGTCCAGGGCTTAATTTTATTCTTCATTACATTATATTCAGTATCATTTTGTCTCAGTTTTAGGTGTACAGCATAGTGGTTAGACAGTCATATACTTTACAAAGTATTCCCCCTGATATTCCCAGTGTCTACCTGGTACCATACATAGGCACTGCATTATTGGCTATATTCCCCATGCTGTACTTC